CTGTCTGCCTCCGCTGTTACGGACCTGGCCTGTCTGACTTCGCTGTTCCTGCTCGGATCCATCCATCCTGCACGGATCGATCCATCCTGCTCAGATCCATCTGCTACTGCCTAGGTCTGCTCCGCCTCTTCACAACAGGCTCATGCCCGCTACGTACCACTGGCAATTATCTCTACCACAGCTGGGTGGTACTCGGGGGCCGCAACCTGGTCTCAGTCTGCTCCAAGTCCATCCCCACCATCAGCGGCTCTGGTGAATAAGCAGTCTGGGGCTTAGACTGGGGAATCCCGGTCTGTGGGTCTCTAGAGCCCTCGTCAGCTGGTACTTGACAGAACCATACAGCCAATGAGTCTGGAAGAGGACCCTCTCCTTGGGAGGAGATGTGTCAACACCTGGCGGCGCTCACTTAAGCCGTTAAAACACTAGAGGAAGGATATAAACATTTGGAGGGACGTGTTCAGACTCTAGCCGCACCTGCTATCATATCGTCAGATCCGGTTACCCAGTCTCCTGCCGGGGGTCCCACAGAATCCTCCGCCGGGGCGATGGTCACTCTCCTTCAACCTGAATCCCGTGTGCCAATGCCAGAGCGTTTCAATGGGGATCGATGGAAGATCAGGGCTTTCCAGAATTCTTGCCAATTATATTTTGACCTGCAGCCACGGACATTTTCTTCAGAATCCGTGAAGGTGGGGTTTGTCATATCATTATTGCAGGGTGAACCCCAAGGCTGGGCCCACCGGTTGCTGGAAGCTCGCTATTCGCGCCTGAACTCAGTCTCTGCATTTTTTAAGGCAATGGCACAACTATATGATGACCCGCAACGAGCCGCTTCTGCTGAGGCGGCTCTGCATACCCTGCAACAGGGTCACCGGGCAGCAGAGGATCATGCTTCTGAATTTAGGCGCTGGAGCGGGGACACCCAGTGGAACGACGCAGCCTTGCGTCATCAATTTCGCTTAGACCTATCTGACCCACTTAAGGATGAGTTAGCCAGAGTGGGCATACCCGACTCTCTGGAAGATCTGATAACCTTGGCCATTCAAATCGACCGCAGGCTGCGGGAACGAATACTAGAAATGTCCAGTCAAGGGCCGAGACCGACATGGATGCTACCTCTGGTTCCGGTCCAGCCTAATCCCCCAGCTAGTAATCAGAATCCTGAGAAATCACACGGAGCCGAACCTATGCAATTCGGATTGACGTGGCCCTCCCTGACAGTTGAAGAACGCCAGAGACGTCAGTTAAATAACCTTTGCCTCTACTGTGGAGCGGCGGGTCATTTTGTATGCTCCTGCCCAGTGAAGTTGAGTAAGTGTGCCTCTGTCGCTTCTGCTATGTCTCCTACTTGCCTAAATAACTCAACTCACCTAGCCGTGCCTATCTCTTTCCAGCTCCCCGGAAGAACCGTACCAGTGACGGCCATTATTGATTCGGGGGCCTGCAGCTGTTTTATAGATCTTAACTTTGCAACCCATCAGCAGATCCCCTAACAAACCAAAGAGCATGGCTTGAACATCTTCCTGGCCGACAGGTCTCGAATAAAATCTGGGTTGGTAGACCGAGAGACTCCTCCAATCTGCACTATGGTGGCCGGTCATCATCAGGAACTCCTCCGCTTGGACGCGATCGTGTCCCCATTATTCCCAGTTATTTTGGGTCTTCCCTGGTTACGAGCACATGACCCCCAAATTAACTGGAAGACAGGGTCAATTCAGTTCCGTTCACCCTATTGCCAAGAGCATTGTTTCCTCAGGACACCATTAGCCACCCAGACCCAATTCTGTGTGAACACGGACGAAGAGCTAGCTCAAACAATTCCGTCGGCTTACCACCACTGCCTTGACGTATTTAGCCGGAGCAGACATCCTTCCCCCACACCGGGCTTATGACTGCCCAATTGACCTTCTCCCAGGGTCTGAGATCCCCTTCGGCCGAATGTTCCCCTTGTCAGAGCGGGAGTTGGGAGCTTTGAAGGAGTACATAGACGAGAGCCTCCAGAAGGGGTTCATCCGTCCTTCCACGTCACCGGCTGGAGCCGGAATCTTTTTCGTGGAAAAGAAAGACAAGTCCCTGAGGCCCTGTGTTGACTATCGGGAACTGAACAAAATAACAGTTAAGAACCATTGTCCCCTTTCCCTAGTCCCTGAGTTGTTCCAGAGATTAAAAACAGCGTCTATTTTTACCAAATTGGATGTCAGGGGCGCTTATAACTTGGTCCGTATACGCGAAGGGGATGAGTGGAAGACAGCATTCCACACCGGGTTCGGTCACTTCAAGCACCTAGTCATGCCGTTCGGGTTGTGCAACGCACCGGACACTTTTCAGCACTTTATAAACGATATATTCAAAGATTACCCGGATATCTTTGTTGTAGTTTATCTAGACGATATCTTGATTTTTTTCCCCATCCTTAGAGGCACATTGAGGTCATGTCAGGAGCGTGCTGGAGCGACTTCGCCAGCACGGGCTCTATGCGAAGGCAGAGAAGTGCAGCTTTGAACAACACAGCATCCCGTTCCTGGGGCTAATTATTTCCACCACAGGAATTGCCATGAACCCCCAGAAGATTTCCGCAATCTTGGAATGGCCAGTACCCGCAGATAAGAAAGGTATTCAGCGGTTCATTGGCTTCGCCAACTTCTACCAGAAGTTCATCAAGAATTTCTCAGGCCTGGTATCCCCCATCACCCAACTCACAAAACTGGGGGTATGCTTTCTATGGACGCCAGAAGCACAGGCTGCTTTTGAGGCCATGAAGAAGTTGTCCACGGCAGCTCCCATTTTGAGTCACCCAGATGCGTCTCTACTTTATATACTGGAGGTAGATGCGTCCGAAAACGTGGTGGAAGCGGTACTGTCGCAAAGGAAAGGTGTAAAGGAGCTTATGCACCCAGTGGCCTTCTTTTCTAGGAAGCTCACTTCGGTAGAGAGGAACTACGACATTGGGGACCGGGAGCTTTTGGCAATTAAGACAGCATTGGAAGAGTGGAGATACTTGTTGGAGGGGGCCGTGCACCCAATCCTGGTCTACACGGACCATAAGAACCTGGAGTATCTGAGGGCGGCTAAGCGCCTTAGACCACGTCAGGCCAGGTGGGCATTGTTCTTTTCGAGGTTTGTCTTCCACATAACATACCGACCGGGGCCTAAGAACACGAAACCTGACGCTCTTTCTCGTATGTTCGAGGATCCTAAAGAAACGCTTAAACCAGATACCATCTTGCTGGCAGGTAACTTCTTACTTTTACAATCAGAACTCCTGTCTAAATTACAGGCTGCATCTATGGGGGCCCCCAACCCACCTGGAGTCTCGATACAGAGCAGAGAGGGACTCTTATGGAAGGGGGAACAGATAGTGGTACCTGAAGAAGCTTGAATCCTGGTCCTGGGCTACTGCCACGACCACCCGTTGGCGGGCCACTTCGGAGTATGCAAGACCTTGGAGTTGATACTACGCACGTTTTGGTGGCCGAGTATGGCCAAAGACTGTGAGGCATACGTGAAGACCTGTGCCATCTGCAACAGGAATAAGCACACCAGGAATAAAGCTTGGGGCCCTTTTGCGACCCTTACTGGTACCCGACAGACCGTGGAGTATGATCTCCATAGATTTTATAGTGGAACTGCCACCCTCACAGAATCACACTGCGATTTTCGTGGTGGTGGATCACCTATCAAAGAAGGCCCACTTCCTCCTGCTGAAGAGTACACCTTCTGCTCCCGAGACTGCACACGTCTTTATTAAGGAGGTGGTAAGACTCCATGGAGTACCTAAGAATATAGTCTCGGATCAGAGAGTCCAATTTACCTCAAAATTTTGGAAGGCCCTATGTGAAAGTTTGGAAATTAAACTATCCTTCTCCTCTGCGTACCACCTGCAAACGAATGGGCAGACGGAGCGGACCAACCAAACGCTGGAACAGTACCTCAGGTGTTACACCTCGTTTCTTCAGGACGACTGGCTGGCACTCCTGCCCCTAGCGGAATTTGCTTATAACAATGCGAGTCAATCCCCGTTTTTTCGCCAATTACGGTTTCCATCACACTTTTCTGCCTGATTTAATCCCAGAAAACTCGGTTCTGGCGGCTCAAGATACCTTAAATTTCTTTGCATCCAATAACAAGTTGTTACAGAAGGCAATGACAAAGGCCCAGGAGGATAACAAGAGAGCCTTTGATAAAAGGAGGAGAGGGGAGTTGGTCGTGCACCCAGGAGATCAAGTCTGGTTGGCAACGACCAACCTGAAGATGGCATGCCCATCAAGAAAATTGGCACACAAATTCGTGGGCCCAATCCGGGTGAGACGGCAGATCAATGAAGTTGCTTTCGAATTAGCACTGCCCGAACCTCTCAAGATACACCCTGTGTTCCATGTATCCCTGCTAAAACCTGCCACTCCAGATCCCTTCCTGGTCATAGGGTCATAGGTCAAGACCTCCGGTGGCCCTAGACATTCATGGAGAAGAGGAATTTGAAGTTGAAGCAACTTTAACTGCAGGAAGAGAGGAGGTCAGACGCAGTACCTCATCAAATGGAAAGGCTATGGGCCAGAGGAAAATTTGTGGGAACCAGCCCAAAACGTCCACACTCCCAGGTTGATTCAAGAGTTTTTCCGCAACCACCCACAGAGGAGGAATCAGTTGGGCATCCGGAGGCTGCCCGTAGGGGGAGGCAATGTCAGGAATCCCAGGGCTCGCGGCGGCGCACGGGTCTGCACATGCGCAGAACGCCGATGCGCATTAGCCGGCGGGCACTAGGACATAGGCAACAGCGGCCGCGCATGCGCACTCACGATTGCGGACGCGCGCCTTGCACCAATGACAGTGCAGGGTGCACTATTTAAACTGGCCCTTTGCATGCTCAAATTGCCGTATGGTCTTGTTTCTGTTGATTCCTGCAATTGCCTTGTTTCCGACCCAGCCTGACCCTGATTCTGTTGACCATCCCCTGCTCTGACCCTTGGCTCGTTTGACTATTCTCTGCCTGATCCTGACTATCTGACCTCCAGTTGCTAAACCTGGCCTGTGACCCGATTACTCTTAGCCTGCTGCCCTGTACCGTCTGCTTCCGCTGTTACCGACCTAGCCTGTCAGACTTCGCTGTTCCTGCTCGGATCCATCCAGCCTGCACGGGTCCATCCATCCTGCTCGGATCCATCTGCTACTGCCTAGGTCTGCTCCGCCTCTTCACAACAGGCTCATACCCGCTACATACCACTGGCAATTATCTCTACCACAGCTGGGTGGTACTCGGTGGACGCGACCTGGTCTCAGTCTGCTCCAAGTCCATCCCCACCATCAGGGGCTCTGGTGAATAAGCAGTCTGGGGCTTAGACTCCGCGCCCTGGGGAATCCCGGTCTGTGGGTCTCTAGAGCCCTCGTCAGCTGGTACTTGACATGGAGTAAGGAATTAAGGGTAGAGAAGACTTGACGAGGATTGGATGAGAGGGTCTTGATGAGAGTGGTATAGTAGGTTTGCTTAGCAGCGTGGAGGCTGGAGTTGTATTTGAGAAGGGCGGATTTGTAGAGGGTAAAGTCTTTCAGGGATTTAGTTTTACGCCATGCTCTGGTGTCATCTGTTTGCCAGTTTTGTGACAGGCGAGGCCTGGTTGTGCGTGTAGAAAGAGGAGCAAGAGTGTGAAGCTGATAAAGTTGTGATCAGGGAGAGGAAAAGGGGTGTTAGAGAGGTTACAGGGAGTGCATAGGTGGGTGAATACAAGGTCAAAAGTGTTGCTATTGGAGTGGGTGGTGGATTGTGACCATTGTGTAAGGTTAAAAGAGGAAGTTAGGTTGAGTAGTTGAGAGGTGGCAGGGGTGTGAACATTGACTGGGATGTTAAAGTCACAGAGGATGATGGCAGGCACCTCAGAGGAGAGAAAGTACTGTAGCCATTCTGAAAAGTCATCGAGAAAGCGTGAAACTGGGCCCGGGGGCCAGTAGATGACTGCGATCCTCAGACAAACAGGAGAAAAGAGACGAATACAGTGTACTTCAAAAGAGCGGAGGGACAGAGATAGAGGGGCAGGAAGAACCTGGAACGTGTTTTGTGGGGAAAGCAGAAGTCCCCCTTTTCGTTCGCTGGGTCTGGGCGAGTGAGTCCAGAGGAGGCCGCCATGAGAGAGTGCAGCTGAGGAGACAGAGTCAGAATCCTGGAGCCAGGTTTCAGTAATAGAATGAAGGTTGAGGGAGTGGGAGAGGAAGAGGTCATTGACAGTAGAGAGTTTGTTAGAGGCTGAGCGGGCATTCCAGAGGGCACATAGGAGGGAGGGGTTGGTGCGTGGAAACAGGGGAATTGAGAGAGCGAGGGTTGCGGCTGCGGCCAGAGAGGGGAGGCTGCTGCTGCTGCTGTAGGTTGGAGTTTTATAGTGAAGGGCTAGGGTTTGGGGCAATGTCTCCAGAAGTTAGTAGTAATAGGAGGGAGGGGTGAGGTGGGAGCGAGATTTATATGAGGGCAGATGCCGCAGTGCTTTTGTAGTGGTGACATTATGTGGACCAAGAGAGAGCAGGAGATAAGTGCAGTGATATTGAGAGGGCAAAAGTGAGGGTGATATGTACAGGTTGTGTGGTGGAGAGGAGGGGTAAACAAGAGAGAGTTTGAGAAGAAAGAGTATTATAGCAACAAAGAGAGTTAGCAAGAGCATGCTGGAGAGAGGAGAGATAACAAAGGAAGGCAGACGGTAAGAGGGAAGAGCACATGCAATCTACTTGAGGTGGTGCACTAATGTTTGTACTTGCCTTATTTAAAGTGCCGTGTTGAAAGTGCCATATACTTAGCGCCGTAATGCGTACTTTGCACAAGGAATGCCAGCCGTCCCATGGACTGTACTGAATTTATACTTGGATGGACAGGGGGGTGGTTAGGCAATTGTTCAATTAAGATCTAATAAAGGACACATGGTGGATGTGTTCTGCCCTTAACAAATTGCAAGCAGGATGGACACAAGATAAGGCAAGGTGTTTGATCTCTATGAGGCTAAGGTCACTTCATACAGGTAAGTATACACAATAGTTACAAAGAAAACAGAAAAAAAATTAACAAAGCAGATCATTTCAGGCATACAAAGTAGCTTAGCAATTGAGAGAACAGTGGAAGCAGTGGTTACCAAGGGCAACAGGAGGCAGTTGTCAGTTGCAGGAAGAGCAAGAAGTTTCAGAGAGCGATGAAAGCAGTGGTTAGCAAGGGCAACAGGAGGCAGTTGTCAGTTGCAGGAAGAGCAACTGATTTATATGTATAAAATTGCATTTTTTCATGTAATGTTGTTAAGGGGTTTGTTTGTATTTATTTACATTGAATTTTTTTGGAAATAGTAATAAAGGTTATTATTGTACCTACTCATTTTCTGGGAAAAAGTGGATATCTGCGGGCCCCTTATTATAAAGTCCCCCATATGCCCACACATTTTTGCAGGAATTTGCCCAGTTCACTTGTCACTCTTTTTTTTCCTCTGCATTTTTGAAATGTTATTTAAAATCAGCAACGTACAGTTCCAATGTAAACTTTTGTAAGAAATATGCTAATACCTTATGCTCCTACCTAGGTTTGGGAACATAAAATAAAAAATTTGCTTCGGTTATTGTCATCCTTGAGACTACTAACTGCTAACTAAAGTGTAAATGTTGCTAATAATGTTTCTCTTGAACTGTTTGGTTTGAGTCCATCAGAGACTGTCCAGAAGTGTAAAATATAATGGTCTAATTTATAAAACAGTGGTGTGTTTTACAATGTGCATTACACTTCACTTGCTTCAAGACCCCAAATCAAGTGAAGCCCTATTCAAATGAATGAATTTAAAAATAAAATGGGGGGGGGGGGTGTTAAGGTCATGTGACCAGCTTCCCCTTCCAGCATGTAGTGCTCCCCTCAGTTGTAAGCCGTGTACAGGGGTGGGCTCCCCAGGATACAGTGAAGTCACGAACGAGGAAAGCAACCCCAACATCAGCCTTTGCCGCAACAGAATTTTACTTAGATGTGGCAAATAAACACAACCACAAATGCTGAGAACATACAATAAATTTACATAAACCCAGCTCAAAGGCTGAGACCCTTGTGCTGCACAGCACGGTGCCTCCTGATGGATGAAGGTAGGAGGTGTAGTAATTTACCTACTGGCGGGCACAACTAAGCTGCCACACCGTACCCGTTATTATCCTAAAAGAGCAGGAATCGGTGTATGGTATGGGCTAGCCTGCGTTGCAGCACAACAGCTTACAATCTTACACAAAGCTACAGTATTCCCCCTCCCATAACTGGTCCTGTAGCACGTGCCTGAGTATTCCTTCTGAGCAAAATGTCAGTCTGACCAGTTGTGGGCTGTTATCAGCTCTCCAATGTGAAATGTCACTTTAAGTTATGGAGTCCTTCCAATGATCAGTAATAACACTTGTGGCCTGACACAAACAGAGATCCTAACTAACTAACTATAGGCCTGAACTCAGTCTCTAGGCGCCAACACTGAAATGAGTTGCGTGCACGATCTTACTGACCCGGGTCTGCTTTTCATCCGCTGGTGACTCTGAACAGAACAAATGTCTCTCCAACAAGCATACGGTATCGCAGTGTAGGTTGCTTTGTTCCTCTGCTCTCATCAGCATTCCTGGCAGCAATCTTCCTTTCTCTGAACAGGATCAGGGTCTTGGACACGATCGGCTTCACTTAGCTACAGCTCTGGTTACTGAGGGATGTTGTAAGGGACCACCTGGCGGCACCTCTAGCAACCCACTGGTCAGGTTTCCCCAGAGCGCGGAGTCTAAGTCCCGGATCATTTATTCACCAGGGCCCCTGATGGTGGGGATGGACTTGGAGTGTACCGAGACCAGGGCGTGACTACCAGGTACACCCACCAGTGGTAGAGGAGTCTGCCAGAGGCTCCCGCAGGGTGAGAGCCTGATGTGAGGAGGCCGGGAGATCCCGGTGGGATGGATGGGTGGGTGGATGGATGGATGAGCAAGTGCACAGTCAGACAAGTCAAGTCGGTAGCCGGGGGTTCGGTGCGGTACAAAGCAGCAGGCAGAGAATGGTCGGGTCACACGCCAGGTCAGTAACAGGAGGTCAGATCTATAAAGCGGCATTCAGGAGCGAGGTCAGGCAAGCCAGGGGTCAGGACAGGAGAAATCAGCAAAGTCAGGCAATCCGGATCAGAAATACTCACTAACAGATTCAGGAACACAGGTAACAGGAAAAGACCATTCGGCAACCAGTGACAGCACAGTGCCCGCATCCCTGCATGAGACGCCGCACTGCGCCTGTGCCGGGACCAGCGTCGCGGCGATCCCTGACATTGCCCCCCTCCTACAGGCAACCTCCGGGTGCCCAACCGATCCCTCCACCGCGGGTGGCCACGAAAGAATTCCCAGATAAGTCTAGGGGCATGAACATTTTGAGCTGGTTCCCAGGAGTTCTCCTCTGGGCCATAGCCCTTCCATTTGATCAAAAACTGGGTCTGGCCCCCCCTTTTTCGGCACTTTTGAACTGCTTCCACCTTGAATTCTTCTTGATCTTCAATAGTTATAGCTTCTGGAGGTCCGGACTCCCGATCCGGGAATGGATCTGGTACGACTGGTTTTAGCAGAGAAACATGAAATACCGGATGGATTTTGAAGGTTTCCGGAAGAATAAGCTTATATGCCACTTTGTTAATCATACGCTTCACACGAAATGGACCCACAAATCTTGGTCCTAGTTTCTTCGAGGGGCACAACATCTTTAGGTTTGTCGTTGCCAACCAGACTTTATCCCCGGGTTGCAGCACCAGTTCCCCCCTTCGCTTCTTATCAAAGGCCCTCTTGTTATCTTCCTGGACTCTAGAAATGGCTTCCTGAAGCAACTTATTGTTGGAGGAGAAAAAGGTGAGGGTGCTTTGAGAAGGTGGAACTGAACTCTCAGAGGCCAGATCGGGTAAAAAAGTGGGGTGAAATCCGTAATTCGAAAAAAAACGGGGATTGCCCTGTGGTTGAATGATTTGCATTATTGTAGGCGAACTCTGCCAAAGGTAAGAGCGCTAGCCAATTATCCTACAGGAAGGACGTGTAGCATCTAACATACTGTTCCGGTGTCTGGTTGGTCCTTTCCGTCTGTACATTGGTCTGTGGGTGAAAAGCGGAGGAGAGGGATAATTTGATACCCAGTGCCTTACATAAAGCTTTCCAGAATTTGGAGGAAAACTGCACTCCTCGGTCCGAGACAATATCTTCTGGGACTCCGTGCAACCTAAGCACTTCTCGAATGAAGATCTGTGCGGTCTCGAAAGCCGATGGTGTACTCTTCAGGGGTAAGAAGTGGGCCATTTTTGACAGGCGGTCTACGATCATGAAGATTGTGGTGTGACCCTGGGACAGAGGAAGTTCGACTATGAAGTCCATTGCAATCATTTGCCATGGCCGGTCGGGTATAGGTAGTGG